TTGACGTAAAAAGGATGTTTTTGGCCACTCTGTAGGGTTTTATGTAGTGGTGACGTAATTGTCACGAGTTCAACATCAAACGGGCACTTTTGTGTAGAATGTGTTGAAGGCTGCTCTCTGTTTAATAGTAGTTAGGCATGTCCAAATAATGGATTTCGGGCTTGAAACAGATTCAAAGTGTAGAGTGGTTTCGGTCAAATATTTTTAATCGAGTATTGAATAGTTGCTGCGTCTTTCACCACGCCATTCACTACTGTTACATCACGCTGAAACAAAAATTCAGCTGAACTTGCAAAGGTTGCTTTCATGCTTCCAACTGCCCACTTATGAGCTCTGCTAAATTTAATCTAGCATGATTAACAGACTGTGGTCTCAGAAAGTCCAATGCCTACATTGAGATGGAAGGTAAACAACAGGTTTGACATAAAATTAAACCTATAAAAGAGCCTAGCCATACCTAATTGAAGAGATTTATAAATATTCCTGCCATATGCAAATATTTCCTTACATTCTAAACTAAAAGAAAAGAAAAACAAAACAAGCACAAATAATGAACACAGGATGTTAGAACATCGCTGCCTAACACATACCCTTGCATAATAGCCACAGTTAAAATTTTGAAGATTTTATTGCAATGTAAATATCAACAATCACAATGTTTCCTTCTTTTTAATACACCACGTGCGTGCGTGCATGCACAATACTGCTTTGAAGATTTGTTTTTCGCCTAAGCGCGGCTGCGCTCCGGCCAAGCGAGTCGCGAGATCGCGCTGTTTGCTTCGCGGGTGTTGCTTCTCCGCAGAGCACCGGTGCTTGAGGAGAAGCGCAGTCAAGGCGGCTAACCCGCCGCGATCAAGACTTCGAAAAATACAAACATCACAGTTAATTTTGAAACAATTATCAAATAGCATATTTGAAACTACTATTCGAAAATTTGAGTATTCACGCCACCCTACTCATCGCACATAGAGCTTAAGCATAAAAAAAGAAAAAAGAAAAAAAAAAAAGAAAACCTGCTTTATAATTTTTAGTAGCATCGCTAACAATGCCACATGCCAGAAACTTTCAGCTTCCTTTTCAAGAGCAGCTCCCTTTTGGCGCAGGCATGGCGCAAATTGCGCATAAATACAGCCTTCGTAGCAGCATGTAGCAGGTTATTCGTTCTGGCACAAACTACGCAGCAGTTCCGCCACTGAAATGACATATTACAATGGTTAAACCAGCTGAACTACGAAATTAGGGAGAAAGGAGTAAAGACAAGTGACCGCTGGACTTGTCTTTACTCCTTTCTCCCCAATTTTGTAGTTCAGCTGGTTTAACCGTCGTAATATGTACCACCAACTAGCTTAGCTTAAACCCCCTGTTTGAAATGACATATTTGTTAATGCATTTTCTAGTGACGTTGGCTCATGCATTCCAAAGTATCCAGATTATGATTTTTTCCCCATGGATCCGCTTATGTTTGATTAAGACAGAATTGTTAAACTTATTGACAATTTGAAAATATCTTCCTCTGTGGTATTGACAATATTACCTCTAAATTCTTAAAGCATGCTAGAATTTACCTCTCCATTCATCTTTCTAAAATTTTTGAATGATCCCATAGCCTTGGTGTCTTGCCAAGTGACTAAACATTAGGGAAGGTGGTCCCGCTTCACAAAACAGGTGACAAACATAGTTCTCTTAACTACCAAACAATTTCCTTAACCAGGGCACCTTGTAAACTTTTTGAGCACTACTCTCCATTCGGTGAATTTCTTAGACTCGAATTCTTTCTTCTCACCTCCACAAAATGGCTTCTGCAAAATCACTGTCCTGCGAAACTCAACTTCTAACTTATACTGATGATCTACATTCCATTCTTGACCGTGGTTCCCAGATTGAGTGTGTCTTCCTCGACTTTAGCAATGCGTTCGACAAACTTCTGCCGTATTTATTCGAATATAAGGCGAGGTTTTTTTCCGAAATCCTTAGTCTCAAAGTCGTACCCCGCCTTATATTCGAAGCTCAGTACAGCAATACGGCAATTCTGGTGTAACAGTTTCGGTTTCCGCCTTTCAACCATTTCCAAGCTTCCAAAAGAGCCCGACAATACTGTTACAAATCTAACGCAGAGATTTAAGAATAAAACATACAAAATGTTACACAAACGCAAGTTACAGATAGTAACTACCGAGTTTAGGCAGCTGCGATGCAGGAGATGCGATGGCTGCAGACGCCTTCAACCATATCAACGAGCTGAGCCAGCAGTAGCCGCTTCCAAGCCAGTAGTAGCCGCAAAGTTTGTAAACAAGTTGGGACGCCATTTTGCATTTTTTTGTTGGAGTGGCCGAGTCTCTGCGGCAGGATTTTTTCAGTGCTCGCTTATTTACGCTACCAGCGCAATGGCGAGTCACCGTTGCCACTATGATGCAGCCTTCAAGAGGAAGGTTGTATCAGAGGCGGAGGTTTCTGGAAACTGCGCGGCGGGTCGGAAGTTTGGTGTTCCGGAGAACAACGTGCGTCGTTGGCGCAAACAGAAGACTGCGCTGTTCGCCTGCGCAGCGACGAGAAAGGCTTTCCGTGGCCCGCGAAAGGGAGCGTTCCCCGAAGTGGAAGAAGTGCTGACGCAGTTCATCAAAGAGAGGAGAGGCCGCGGTTTGGCCGTTACTTCCGACATCGTGCAGATGAAGGCGCGCGAAATCGCGAGAGAGCGTGGCATCCCCGCTCTCAAGTTCAAAGCTAGCCGGGGCTGGGTGCAGAAATATATGAAGAGGGCCGGATTTTCCTTGCGAAGGCGGACCTCCGTGATGCAGAAGTTGCCCGAGGACTACGAAGAGAAACTAATCTCTTTTCAGAGATATGTTATCGGCCTGCGACGCGACCACGACTTTCTACTCGGGCAGATGGGCAACGCCGACGAAACCCCGATTTTTTTTGACATGCCGTCGCCCCAGACCATTCACCAAAAAGGTGATCGCCAAGTGAGCCTGCGCACTACAGGCAACGAGAAGGCTAGGATCACCGTTATGTTAGCCTGCACCGCCGATGGGCGGAAGTTGCCCCCCTTCATCATCCTGAAGAGAAAGACCTTTCCGAAGAACGAGGTCTTCCCGCAGAACGTCCACATTCGTTGCCAGGAGAAGGGGTGGATGACGGAAGAGCTTTTTCTGAACTGGATTAAGTCGGTGTGGTGCCGAAGACCAGGGGCACTGCTCGCCCGGAGGTCAATGCTGGTCCTCGACGCGTTCCGCGGACATCTCACGGAGGGTGTGAAGAAGAAGCTGGTGGACGAACGCACGGAGCTGGTCGTCATCCCGGGGGGCATGACAAGCCAACTACAGCCGCTTGACGTTTGTCTTAACAAGCCCTTTAAGGCACACGTCAGACGGCTGTACAATGAATGGATGGCGTCTGACACTGTGGCCCTCACGCCGTCGGGACGTCTAAAGCGGGCGTCCCCGTCTATGCTCGCCCAGTGGGTGGTCGACGCATGGGCAGCGATCCCCGAAGCTATGGTTGCAGCATCGTTCCGCAAGTGCTGCATTTCCAATGCCCTTGACGGCACCGAAGACGCTGACCTCTTTGAGTGCGAAAGTGATAAGGATGATTCGGATGCTACCACTTCTGAAGACAACAGCTTCTAAGTTTGTCATTCGTCTCGCTCCGAATAGGTAAATATCTTTGTGTGCAGATAGTTCAAATACTTGTGTCTGCTTCGCTGAAAGGTAAGGAATTTAATTGCCTTCTTTCGTTTCTTTCGCCTTATATTAGTGTGCAAACTTTTTTCTTTTTCTTTGGTCCTTCAACTGCCCCCTCGCCTTATAATCGTGACCGCCTTATATTCGAATAAATACGGTAATTTTTAAACTTAGTAAAATTAAGATAGACCCGAATATTCTGTCATGGATTAAATGTTTTTTAACTAATCGTTCTCAATTTGTTTCCACCAATGAAACTAATTCCTGTCTCAGTCCTGTTACTTCTGGTGTTCTTCAAGGGACCATCTTAGGGCCTCTTATTTTTTATTTATATCAATGACCTACCCCCAGTGTATCATCATCCATTATTTTATTCGCCAACGACTACGTAATCTACCAAAAATTATTAAGGAATCTGATAAAGCGCTTCTACTAACAACGTGACATACGATTGGTATCCAACTGGTGTAACATCTGGCAAATGTCTCTTAATACTAACAAATGTAAAACTATGAATGTGTCTCGTGGTAATAAGTCCCCATCATCATACTCAATTTGTAACACAGTTTGTGCTGCAGTCTGTCTCCTTATATAATGTTTTGGTGAGAATATTAATTCTAACATGTCATGGAAGGCTCATACTGATCTCATTATTGCCAATACTAATTCCCGTGCTTGGATATCTATAACTTCTCTTCAGCACCTACGTCCTTAACACTACTTCTATACAAAGCCCTAGTATGCTCAAAGCTCGAGTATGCCGCAGCAATCTGGGATCCCGGTCAAACAACACTCACGAATAACATTGAAGTCACGCAAAATCGTGCAGTACGTTTCATCGTTGGCAACTACCAGCGCACGGCTGGTGTCGCATTAATGAAAACAACTCTATATCTGTCTCTCCTTTCACTACGTCGAAAAATATCACGCCTATGCCTGTTTTACAAAATTCATCATTCCAATGCTTCACTGAAGGACAGGCTACTTCTCAGCCTATCTTTTATTTCTCTGCGCATCGAGCATCACTTTAAAGTCAAAAAACCTCACTGCAAAACATCAGCACACGTTGAAGTGCATCGTTGGCCTTTGCTTTTTTTTTTTTTTTTCTTATTGTTTTTGTTTTGTTGTTCTTGTCTACTTCCTTCTATAAATCCCTCTGGGCCCTGAAGGTATTGAAATAAATTTTTAAAAAAGCATCGGGAAGCAAACTTGCGCACTGTATTTTGCAGGAACTGCTGCATTTTTCATTTTACTCCTCTCGCCTTACCTCTCTGGATCGCCTGCTGAATTGCCTTCCGTCCGTTTGTGCGATTTATCAAAATGACCAAAAAGCAGCCTACCACCATAAAGGAGTTGGCAAAGTTCTTGTCAGAGCTTTCTACAAAGTTAGACGTAATAGACACCAACGTGAACAAAGGACCATTGGGAATGTCACAATCTATGACCTTCATGAACAAGGGATTCAATAAGTTTAAGGCAACAATGGCTAGTGTCACAAAAGAAATAAACCAGCTAAAAGCCGAGCTACAACAGCTGAAAAAAGAAAACCAAGATCTTCCCAAAGAGCTCGAAGACACGAAGCGCAACCTTGTGAAGATGAAGCACTACTGTCATGGAAACCTAAAAACTAAAGGCATTCCACATAGCCCTCATGAGAATCCTGCCGAGATGATCACCGCAATCGGAGGCGCAATAGGCGTTGAGATTGCAAGCACAGACATTGACGTTAATCGTCGAATGCCCACAAAGAACCAGGCGAAACCAAATGTGATTGTACGGTTTCTCTCCCACAACGTCCGTGATAAAGTCCTAATGTCCGCGAAACAATGCAGGCCGACGTCAGATGCTGGTTTCGAACATTCAGAACCAGTGTACGAAAATGAACATCTATGCCCGGAGAACAAATTGTTGCTTGGGAAAGTCACCGAGAAAAAGAAGGCCAATAACTGGGAATTTCTGTGGGTGTCTCAAGGAAAAATACTAATGAAGAAAGCCGAAAACTCCGGTGTAGTACAAATCATCAGTGAAGCTGATCTTGCTGATTGTGTAACTGACTAACATAGTATCTATGGTTAAGTGCAGTTTAAACGCTTGCAACCGAGTAGGTCGGAGAGACAAGACCGGTTTTAAAACCCTTACGACGTTTAAGGACCAACTCCGCAGCATCGCATCTGGTTTTAAGACGTCGTAAGAGACCTAAAAACCAGTCTTGTCTCTCTCGGTCGTACTCGGTCACAAGTGTGTGAACGAGCCTTTAGACTTAACGCTACACAGTCATGAAGACTTATTTCCTGTCTGAAATAAAACAATATATTGGATGCAAACCCTCGCGTAAGTGTTTTCACTTAAATATGCAGCTAATCATGAAGTATGTTTTGTTCAGTTAGATTTCCCCTTCAATGTCATTATGTTATCAGAGACATGGTATTCTGATGACGTTAACATTTTTAAATTACCTATGTAAACCACTCATCTAAACTGCACTAGGCCCAGTGGTGAAGGCGTATCGATGCTGATGCGAGCCAATCTCTGAATCTGAGCCAATCCCTGAATACTGCTCTACAAATGAGGATTACGAAGTGCATCGTGAATTTTTTTTCTGCTTTCAATCGTCCGCCAGACGGTACTCTTTCCAAATTTAGTTTCGGTTCTAAAAAAATATCTACTGTAAAATACCGGGCAAGCACCCACTCAAACTTTGGAGATAATCGCGAGAAACAGGGGCAGGGGCGCTTGTTCGGTCATGAATTTTACACATAAAAGTACCGTGCATATTTTCTCAGATCTCACAAATTTAGCAATGGGCGCTTAATGTGAAATGAGCAGATTCGCGGTATTCTACGGTAATGTTCACAAACACAAATCGATTTAACCTAATCTGAGGAGGCGACTTTGACATAAATATGTTGATGGATAATGCACATAAAAGAGAAATGAAAAATGTTATCAATTCGAATGGTTTCACAAATATATTCACAAGCCTGATCTCAATTACATTGACTTCAGAAACGTTACTCGACTTATTCCCAATGAAGTTCTCTTTAACTAGCGTCAAGGCTGGTGCGGTCAAATGTGATCTCAGCGATCATTTTCCAATATTCATATCCGTGAACATGCACAGTTTGAATGGGTCGAGGGCAAAACCGAGTGCAATGTTTCAACATATTACACCTGATCACTTTGAGAACTTTAGGAGGGACCCATCTAACATGGAGTGGACCGTAGTGCTTCAGAAAAAAACTGTTGAGGCTTACAATACATTTATAGCAATTTTTAAGGAATGTTACCTACGAAACTCTCCCTACAAGACACTTAAGCTACCGCGAAACATTCGAAAGCCATGGATCACACCAGATATTGTCCTTCATGACCGAAAGCAATGGATCCAGGAAAAAATGTCCTTCATGACAGATTCTTTTAAAACTAGAGATCTATAGTCGGTTACAAGTTAAGAAGGTAATAGAAGCTCCTCCCGATAAGCGTGATGCGCCCGCTTCAGACGCCTTTGCTGTCGAGAAAATGGTTTGCTGAAAACGCCGCTTCTGCTTCAATGGATAGATATTGACAACAGGCAGAACCTGTAGTGGGCGGCCATCTAGCCGAGGCAAATTATGTATTTTAGGATTCTACATTACTCGCTCCGGAAGGTTGAAGTAAGAAGGCTTCAGTGCAACGAAAATTGTGGCTTTTATAAGTAATGCATATATGGTTGTTGTTTTTAGCTTGATAAACTTCCTACACAAATTAGGTACATTCAGTGCATTTGCTGCATTTGTTAAAAAAAAACTGCGTTTCGGGTTTGGAAAGCTCCTGCGATTCGCGTTTTGACAAGTCCGAAGTCATTGTTTGTTTTCCGTTATGAATCCCAAGGTGTAGACAGCAGAATGCAATTCCTCCAATTCTTTGTCAAGAGAGTCTGGTGCAGCCTCGCCGTCTATGCCAAGGCGCCTCTACAGGAAGCATAAAAGCGGCGATGTCCTCAACCGAGTTGCACAGCAGCTGATAATGAATGCGTATGTTCAAGTGCGACACGAACCGCCCGCCGAGCCCAGCCTCACTATGGAGGAGCCCTGCATCAAAGTCAGCAAACTGCTTGGCCTTGGTGTACATACCATCCTCGAGATTAAAAAGCAGGCGAAAGATACCGAAGGACAAGTTGTGACACCTTCTCGGAAGCGCCCAGCAAGTGAAGGCAAGAGGCGGCACAAAGTGAGGTACGGAGACTTCACATTGTGCGCGCTGAGATTGTGCGTCCACCGTTTCTTTCGACGGAACGAGGACCCCACGGTCAAGAAGATAACGGCCAAACTCTACACGAGCACTGAACTTTCCTCATTGAAGGCTTGGACTGTGCGTCGCCTTCTACACGACATCGGATTCGAGCACGACAAGAAGGAACGAAACTCGCGGCTGATTGAACGAGAGGACATCATCGCTTGGCAGTAGAAGTACCTACACGAGATCGCACGTCACCGACAAGATGGTCGGAAGATCTTCTACTTGGACGAGACATGGGTGACGGCAGGACACACTGTCTCAAGGGTGTGGGTAGACACGACTGTGGCCTCGTCTCACGATGCCTTCATGCGTGGTCTCTCGACTGGCCTTGAGCAGCCATTGAGGACGGGCCAGCGTTTTGTTGTCACCCACATCGGCAGCGATGAAGGCTTTGTCGACGGCTGCCTGGACGTGTTCCGTGGACAAAAGACCGGCGATTACCACGAGGAAATGGATGGCACACGCTTTGAGAAGTGGTTCGACGGTGTCATCGACAAACTGCCGAAAGGAAGCGTTATCGTCATGGACAATGCTTCTTACCATTCCCGGCGGTTGGAAGCAGTGCCGACGACGAGTTCCCACAAGGACGACATCCGACAGTGGCCGACATCTAAAAACATTTCATGGAACCCTAAGATGCTGAAGAAGCAGCTGCTCGACATTGTGGCCTTGGTGAAGCCACAGCACCTAAAGTATCATGTGGACACTGCAGCCGAGATGGCTGGCTGCACTGTGGTCAGGCTCCCACCACATCACTGCGAGTTGAACCCCGTTGAACTGATATGGGCGCAGATCAAGAACAATGCTGCTGCCCGAAACACGACGTTCAAGATTGTCGACATAGGGACACTCCTCAAGGAAGAAGTTGACAAAGTCGCCACTGACAACTGGATTAATGCAGTCAGGCACGTTATTGACATTGAAGCAACGTTCTGACGAGGCGGTGCCACAAGTGTCCACATCCTGCCCATCGTCATCCAGCTGGACGGAGACGACACCCCATCCAAGAGTGACCTGTCTGGTGTTGAGCCCCTTGACGAAGCTTAAGGGGGGACACGGGGCAAAATCGCGATTTTCCGCACAAAAATGCGTTTTGACATTATTTCAGTTTTGGGTGCCGTAACTAATAAAGATTCTATTCTCAAACTTTCATTCGCATATGTGGAATAGAAAAGCAGCAATTCGCGTTTATTGACGCGCTGGCGGCCTCTGCGCAGCACTTTCCGCTCGCAGAAACCGGCCGTGAATGCCATTTTCGGAGCATGCGTGCCGAGGGGCGAATAGGCCCACCGCAGAGTATGTACCCTTGTTAGAAGCGGCATTTTTCGCTCTTCCTAACGTGCTGGCACGCCTCCATCGAGAGTGCGATGGGACGTTTGCAAAGGTCAATAAAGGCAAGACAAAAATCTAAAAATGGCGCACGCTGATTGGCTAGAAAAACCAAGCTTGGGCCTTGGTTGGTTGAAACGGTGTCACATGACCATTCGAACACAATTCGCGCGCTCGTTGCCGTGCTAGGCCTCGCTGCCTCACCAGCATCGGCAGACTAGGTTTTATTCCATTCGGCACTAGGTCTGTTCTGCAATCGCTTCAGCAGCTAGTTTAACATTGTTTCGCCAGGAAATGCCCGCTACGAAGTTTCGGGCGTGAAATAACTTTGGAAAACGAAGTCGATTCACGAAAGCGAGAGGCCGACGCAGCAATGGGCGGCCAGCCAAGCCCGACGAGACACCTGTGGTGTCCAAGAACCAGATGGCGCCACATCCCCGCTGTCTGGCATGCGTGAGAAGAGCCCCAAAGGCGAGGGGGTGACTAAAGGGGAGAATGCAGGGCGGCGCGTCGGAGATCAGACACGCGAGGCTTACTACGCAAAATAAAGTTTTAAGTTTTGGATTGTTACCCGGTCGTCTCCCTCGGCAACACACTAACGACACTACAACACCCCTGTGTTTGGGCGTTTCAAGCCCACCGCAACCGATTGACGCAGTGTTTTCGACTTCTGACACTGGTACATCGACATCGGAAACCTCAAGTGCCTCCGCCGATGATGTTGCGACCATAGTGACTGCCTTTGAGCGGCAGGCAGCGATGTTACAGCAGTTCGACGAGGCTTCGGAAACCCTGGCGAATGATGCCAGCGGCAGCTCGGAAGAGCTCAGTGGGTACCGTTTCGTCGCTGTGACGGCGATCAAGGCCTTGATAGAGCCGCTTTTATGCCCCGTGTACCTCGAACAGTTGCTCCAACTGAGGGAAAGTGGATCTGGCGCGAATCTTCAGTTTGTTGTTTGCGGTGGGCACGGAGACATCGCGAAAGCGCCGCATTCGCCCGTCGTGGGATCGAGCCGCCAGCCCGAACTGCCCTTCCGCCTCGCAGCTGTCAGCCGGAATTGCGGGATCAATTTTACGAAGTTGATGAACTTATTCGGCGGAATGGACACACCGCAACCGATGCACCTAAAGACGTTCCAGGCACTCTCCGACAAGGTGCGCCGCACAGCGATGGACGCTGCACAGGACGTGATGCACAAATCTGCGCACGCCACTAGAAAAAGAAAAGCGGCTATCACTTCATTGACAGCAATGAGGTGATAGACGTAGCCGTTAGTTACGACGGCACATGGCAAAAGCGAGCCGACACATCGCAGCTTCGGCCTCGAAGCTGCAATTGAGCTAGACTCCTTGTGCTGGACTTTTCAGTCCAGTCCAACTACTGTCATGGCTGTAGCCTGGGGCCCAAGCCAGGAGAAGGAAACTATGAAGAATAGCAGGAGTCCCACAGC